GTAAGACATTAGATGATATAAAACGTCTTTTTTCAAACCCTGACCCAGATTTACCAAAGAGCATTTCACCAATCGTTGATGATGAGGGTTTGTTGTTTAATGGTTTTAGAATAAGATTTAGTGGAAATTCACCACAATTCAAAATCGACACAAAAGACTTTATATTTACATTAACGAGAGGATTAATAGATTTAATGAATGGCGAGGATGTTGAAATTGCCGATTACAAGGATTTAGTAGCATACTCAAAATTTCTACATGCGATCAGAAAGTCAGGACCCGAAACAAGAAGATTGAAAGAAGTTGATTTATATATAACAAAAGTTATTGAGCAAGATGAAGAGGATGTAGATGATTATGCAGAAGATTATCCAATCATACAAGAAATAGACGAATTCGATGATATGGTGACATCTGGACAAGGTATAACGTTTTTATCCGACAACAATAAAGAATTGCTTAATAGATTAGAAATGATATTAGCGGCCATGAAGGAAGGTCATCGATCGGACAGACAATACAACGAAGTCAATGGCATATTAAAACGGCTTTGGAGAAAAAAATCATCACTAAAAAAGACTATATAAATGTCATTAAAAATGTCCAATAAAGAACAATTGTTCGTTATCACCTCGAATAAATCAGATATCAAATTGTCTCTAGACTACGAGTATGAACTCGATCGCAATAAACAGTACGAACTGGGATTAAAGTATTTCTCCGTTTACAATTCCATTAGAAACATCAACGAAAAAAACAATCAACTAAAAATATTGACGGATAACGGAGTTACGTTCAAAACCATAAGCTTACTAGCGGGAAGCTACGAACACGTGGCCATCAACGATTACCTATCCGAATACGCAGGAAGCGTGAACGGCAAAAACAATATCGAATTCGAAGGTAATTTGAATCTGAACAAAATGAAACTGATCTTGAGAAATAACAGTCAAGTCGATTTCAACGTAGAAAATTCGTTGAATGCGTTACTAGGGTTCGATAAACGAATATACGCGCAATCGACATTGGCGCCGCACAAGGCCAACATCGAGAACGACATCGACGTGATCAACATTCACTGTAATTTGATCAACGGTGGATTTTTCAACAAGCACAAACGCCAAATCATATACAGCATACCGACTTTTACGGTGCCGATCGGATACAGAATTATAGAGAAACCGTCTCAAACGACCTATTTACCAGTCAATTCTTTCATGATCAAAGATATAAATCTGG